TTTTCCAGATTCAATTGGATAATGCCTTACTTTCGGTTTACAGTCGATGTACACATTACTCCAAAGTACAGAGGCACAAGTCAAATATAGCTTTTCATTTTTCTGATGCCATTCTTTTGAAAACAGTACGCCAAGTGGATCAGGTGAAAAATCTAGTTAGTAGTTGCTTCACGGAACTATCACAAGATGCACCACCACCCCATAACAGTCATGTCACTAATCAATCATTCACTTCACATGTGCCGTTTCAGTTTTCTAATTTAACTATGATATGATATGATAAAAATGTTTGTATACAATCACTGCTTTATAAAAAGATGAAAGTTAAATGCACCAATTGCACTCTTCATCTCTGATATCAGGCAAGTTTCCGCAATGAATGCTGCTGGTTTATCTAAGAACATCACGCAAGTTGGGAGATTAATTTTCTTGCACAACATTATTGTCCCTATGCCATGTTCGATTGCTTTCAAACAGAAATAGGTGCGCGAAACCATTGGATAAGGAGGGACAAGGAGACGAGTTATCCTCCAACTTAACTAGTTACTCGACGCAGCATGGTTCAACTACTTCAAAAATTCATGCACGGCATTTCTTAATAAAAAAAATTGCACACTTTAATCGTAACATGGAACTCCACATTCTTACTTTACACCAAAATATAGAAAAAGAAAAGATTAAAGAAGTTGATTGGCTTGTACTTAGATGCGGAGCAATAAGTTCCTTAGATTAAGAGAAGAGCACCCATCGTGGATGACCTTTTTGGGGTCCCAATACCAAGTAAAAAAAATCTTGCCATATCCAATTATCGAAACTTATAAGCAGGACCACATAGATGACTCAGAAGAGCAACGTCTCTGAGGACTTTTGTCAAACAAGTGGCGCTGGGGAGAATTATATGACCTTTCCGAACCCCAGTCGCCTATCATCCAACGTGGGAACATACCATAATTTAACAATATCACAGACAACCCTCACATTCTCCACCTCTACGCCATGTGCAAATGTCTTACAATATTCTCCTAAATAACTCAAGCAGTACGAAATTGTTCCAAGAAAATTCAAAATAGTATATATCCACATATAATTAGCAGACATCTGGCACGACTTCTTTTTACAACGATTTACAAGACGCAAAACAAACAACAAACTGATTCTTCTTCCAGGTTGGAAAACAAGATTAAGCAAAGAAAACAAATACTGTTTTAACTTAATCATGATCTCAATTTTGAGCTCTGATTATTTAAATACAAGATTTATTTTTCAAGAATAACAATCTTACCCGATTGATTCTATGAAAGAAAGCTAGAACTGAAAATCAATTCTGAGAGGTGGTTCCTGAATCAAAATCTTTGGGAAAGAAGATTCAACCTTGAGAGAAGCTCTGCAGAGAGGGCAACTTGAGTGGTGAGTGAGCCACCTATCAACACATTCACAATGGAAATAATGGTCGCACGCCGGCAAAACCTTCACTTTCTCGCCGTCTCTGAACTCGCCGAGGCAGATGCAACACTCCGTTTCGTCCCACGAACTTTCGTCGCGATCCGAGGGCGCGTGGTGAAGGATTATGGGCAATTTCTTGAGGGTTGCGGGGTCCAGTCCCTGAGACTGCGGGAGTGACGGCGCGTGGGTAGCGGCGGAAAACGCTGTGGTGGGAAGGAGCCCCTGGTAGCGACAAACCCAGCGCGTGTATATGAAGAGAACCGTGACGAGAAGGATAATGGAGAAGAGTACGATGACGAAGAACAAAGTCCTTCCTCGGATCTCTAGGTCTCTGTCATCGATTTCTGTGTAGTGCCAAGTGAATGGTCGGGTATCTGGGCTGGCCATCGCGATCTGATTCCACAGTGTAGGAATTGTAGTGAGTAAACGAGGCGGGTAGCGGAGGAGGGCTGCGACGGTGGGGCATCAGAACTAACAGTATCATGTGACACTGTTCGCAGCTGTAGTAGTTAGTATCACTGACGATTACGAAGTGAGAGCTGACACGAGTGGCCAAGGGTATATATAGGGTTAAGTTAGGTGATAAGTGTACTCCCAAAGTCGGCGCGTGGATGAAAGTGTTAGTTTGCTTTATAATTAAGATTCGTTCTGAATTTAATTTTATATAAAAAAGAAAAAGGGAAGCTAATAGAAGGAAAAGAAGAAGAAGAAGAAGAAAGGTAAAGTTATGGATTACGGTTAGTAAACATCAAGGTTATGATATTATTAGATGATTATGCAGCAGGGTGGTAGGGAGTTCGCCGACACGTCCTTTTTCCTCGGAGACACCGTGGTCACACTGGATACGATAGTGTCTCCTTTGTATACTGCCTTCTTTCTTCCACGGAATTTCTTTCAAGACAAATCAAAGGTTTCTGTGTTTGATTTCAATAAAATCAACAAAAATTAAAAATTTAAAGTCTAAACTCACATTTTAAAAATAATACTGTTGTTTCTTATAAAAATAATATTGTTAAAGAAGAACTTTATGTATTTGATAGTCTATATTGATGCATACTGGACATGTTGTTATTGTTATTGACCGTAAAAGATAAATTTAGATATTTCATATTCGTAAGAGTAGAGCTGTGAAATGAGCTCCTTTAATAAGATTTGACCCTAACCCATGTGGATTGGGGTCAAAAAAGTCCACGGGGTCAAAAAAAACCCTTTATTAAAAAAATCCACAGGGCTAAAACCCCCTAAAGTCATATAGGCCAGGGCCAGCCCATGGACTTTCTTTTTTACAAAATTTAACGTCTAGAAACATAATATCATCATACAAGTAATCACAAATCATATGTATTTTTTATCCAGCTTTCATTTTATCTTTGTTAGTAATAACTTATAACCATAATTGATTCATGTATAATTATATTTTTTTACCAATAAAATTAATTTTCTACTTCATAACTGTTTCTATATTAATTAGTTTAATAATAATGCTTTTATACAATTATTNACTTCAAACAATTTGAAATTGCATCATATAAGCAAGATTTATTCATATGCTTATAAAATTTGGAACTTAGTCTATTTTGGTAAGTTAATGCTAAAATTACACCATAATAATATAAATTTGACCAATCCTAACATATAAAACATGGACTGAATTGTCGGTAGAATACTCTTGAAATAAAACACACACGCACACAAATATATATATATATATATGCACAAGGGATGTTGCAGTTTCTTTTTAATATTGTTACAAATATTATCGATATGAGCGCTGCAAATTTAATTTTGTCCAGTTTACTAACTGCATTGAACCCACGTGACATGTCTTGTACTTTAGGTTATCTTTTATGAGATAAAGCCGAGGTCCATGCCGGATTTTTACTGTTTCATGTTATATTTAAAACCCAATCACATTGAATAATTTTATCACGTCTCAAATGTCTATTTATTATTTTCTTTCTAAAACTTTTAAAGTGAATAACAAGAGACGTGGAAGGTACATACATGCATATGAAAATATATTTCATAAAACAACTCAGTTTAACCAGGATATGCAAATTGTAAAGTCTGCTTACACAAGTCACGTGAAAAAAAGTGATACTGAATTAAAAGTTTCTCGATATTAAAAAATCATCACAAAGAGGGAGAAATAATTGTGCAAATCCTTTGTCCTCCTCCAAAACAAGATACATAATTGCAAATCGACTCTGATAAAAACAAAATCGTTTTTCGGGTTTCTAGCTAATGGAATCCGAATACTTACTGCATATCACTCTTAGCAGCTCAATATCCCTATCTAAATAAGAAAGAAAGTCTGGTTGAAGAAGTTTATATTCAAACTAAAAATTAAAAATATATTTAACAATTTTAATGTAAATTTCAATGTGATCTTGAATTCACTAAAATAGTACGTACTTCTTAGAAATAAGAGGATTTAATAATTCTCGTGGAAGCGTTGTTATCTTAAAAAGAAAAGAAAACTTTTTTGAAGAAAATTAAAGCTGTTGCCTTTTTTCCAGATTCAATTGGATAATGCCTTACTTTCGGTTTACAGTCGATGTACACATTACTCCAAAGTACAGAGGCACAAGTCAAATATAGCTTTTCATTTTTCTGATGCCATTCTTTTGAAAACAGTACGCCAAGTGGATCAGGTGAAAAATCTAGTTAGTAGTTGCTTCACGGAACTATCACAAGATGCACCACCACCCCATAACAGTCATGTCACTAATCAATCATTCACTTCACATGTGCCGTTTCAGTTTTCTAATTTAACTATGATATGATATGATAAAAATGTTTGTATACAATCACTGCTTTATAAAAAGATGAAAGTTAAATGCACCAATTGCACTCTTCATCTCTGATATCAGGCAAGTTTCCGCAATGAATGCTGCTGGTTTATCTAAGAACATCACGCAAGTTGGGAGATTAATTTTCTTGCACAACATTATTGTCCCTATGCCATGTTCGATTGCTTTCAAACAGAAATAGGTGCGCGAAACCATTGGATAAGGAGGGACAAGGAGACGAGTTATCCTCCAACTTAACTAGTTACTCGACGCAGCATGGTTCAACTACTTCAAAAATTCATGCACGGCATTTCTTAATAAAAAAAATTGCACACTTTAATCGTAACATGGAACTCCACATTCTTACTTTACACCAAAATATAGAAAAAGAAAAGATTAAAGAAGTTGATTGGCTTGTACTTAGATGCGGAGCAATAAGTTCCTTAGATTAAGAGAAGAGCACCCATCGTGGATGACCTTTTTGGGGTCCCAATACCAAGTAAAAAAAATCTTGCCATATCCAATTATCGAAACTTATAAGCAGGACCACATAGATGACTCAGAAGAGCAACGTCTCTGAGGACTTTTGTCAAACAAGTGGCGCTGGGGAGAATTATATGACCTTTCCGAACCCCAGTCGCCTATCATCCAACGTGGGAACATACCATAATTTAACAATATCACAGACAACCCTCACATTCTCCCCCTCTACGCCATGTGCAAATGTCTTACAATATTCTCCTAAATAACTCAAGCAGTACGAAATTGTTCCAAGAAAATTCAAAATCGTATATATCCACATATAATTAGCAGACATCTGGCACGACTTCTTTTTACAACGATTTACAAGACGCAAAACAAACAACAAACTGATTCTTCTTCCAGGTTGGAAAACAAGATTAAGCAAAGAAAACAAATACTGTTTTAACTTAATCATGATCTCAATTTTGAGCTCTGATTATTTAAATACAAGATTTATTTTTCAAGAATAACAATCTTACCCGATTGATTCTATGAAAGAAAGCTAGAACTGAAAATCAATTCTGAGAGGTGGTTCCTGAATCAAAATCTTTGGGAAAGAAGATTCAACCTTGAGAGAAGCTCTGCAGAGAGGGCAACTTGAGTGGTGAGTGAGCCACCTATCAACACATTCACAATGGAAATAATGGTCGCACGCCGGCAAAACCTTCACTTTCTCGCCGTCTCTGAACTCGCCGAGGCAGATGCAACACTCCGTTTCGTCCCACGAACTTTCGTCGCGATCCGAGGGCGCGTGGTGAAGGATTATGGGCAATTTCTTGAGGGTTGCGGGGTCCAGTCCCTGAGACTGCGGGAGTGACGGCGCGTGGGTAGCGGCGGAAAACGCTGTGGTGGGAAGGAGCCCCTGGTAGCGACAAACCCAGCGCGTGTATATGAAGAGAACCGTGACGAGAAGGATAATGGAGAAGAGTACGATGACGAAGAACAAAGTCCTTCCTCGGATCTCTAGGTCTCTGTCATCGATTTCTGTGTAGTGCCAAGTGAATGGTCGGGTATCTGGGCTGGCCATCGCGATCTGATTCCACAGTGTAGGAATTGTAGTGAGTAAACGAGGCGGGTAGCGGAGGAGGGCTGCGACGGTGGGGCATCAGAACTAACAGTATCATGTGACACTGTTCGCAGCTGTAGTAGTTAGTATCACTGACGATTACGAAGTGAGAGCTGACACGAGTGGCCAAGGGTATATATAGGGTTAAGTTAGGTGATAAGTGTACTCCCAAAGTCGGCGCGTGGATGAAAGTGTTAGTTTGCTTTATAATTAAGATTCGTTCTGAATTTAATTTTATATAAAAAAGAAAAAGGGAAGCTAATAGAAGGAAAAGAAGAAGAAGAAGAAGAAAGGTAAAGTTATGGATTACGGTTAGTAAACATCAAGGTTATGATATTATTAGATGATTATGCAGCAGGGTGGTAGGGAGTTCGCCGACACGTCCTTTTTCCTCGGAGACACCGTGGTCACACTGGATACGATAGTGTCTCCTTTGTATACTGCCTTCTTTCTTCCACGGAATTTCTTTCAAGACAAATCAAAGGTTTCTGTGTTTGATTTCAATAAAATCAACAAAAATTAAAAATTTAAAGTCTAAACTCACATTTTAAAAATAATACTGTTGTTTCTTATAAAAATAATATTGTTAAAGAATAACTTTATGTATTTGATAGTCTATATTGATGCATACTGGACTTGTTGTTATTGACTGTAAAAGATAAATTTAGATATTTCATATTCGTAAGAGGTACACTACAAAAAATAATATTTTTTATCGGCGATTCTTTTAGCGGATATAATACAACGCCAGAAATAATTACGTTTATGATAACTTTTTTTTTTAATTGCCACAAATTTTATTATTATTTTTATTTTAAACTTAGTTATATTTTAAATTAATTGTATTTAGATTAGCTTTATCTTTAAATAAAACAGTATAATGTATCTTTTTCAATACTGCTTCTTTCAGAACACTGCCATTACCACCTATTTCAGAACTTCTTTAAGAGCACTGCTATTAGCGCTTCTTCATGAACAGTCACTGGCATTATTGCTTCCAGGTCAAAGCTGGCATTACAACATCTAAAGAATATTGGTGGTATTCCGGAATTTATATTTAATCGTTTTTAAAAAATTAGAAACGATCTCATTTTACCCTTAGTTTCTTCAAAAGATTATGTTCACACAAATTTTCCAAAAATTATTTTCGAGTTCGCTCAACTTTCGTTCTCTAAAATCATTTTCTATTTTCGACTTAATATAGTTAAGGATTTTTTTATCACCATCAATTGATTTCATTCACATAATAAATTTTCGTGTATAATCCTATTTTAGGAATATAAAATTAATAAAATAAAACATTCATTAGTAAAATTTGAAAAAAAAAACAGTATAAAAAATTGTTATGACATTTATTTCAAAGATATAATCATAGTTTTTCTTAAGAAGTTAAGGAAGGAAAGAAAAACCAAAAAAGGACAATAATACATATCTTTTCTAAGATATATCAATTCCTATTTCCTCATTTGCTTACATTAGTAAAAATAATTATTGTAAAAGAAAAACAAACAACACAAATAAAATAACACATAAGAAAAGGTAAGTTAATGTACAACAAAGTTTTTATAAAAAATATAGAAGTAATCATCATACATCACTTATTCATTAAACAATCCTCACATATAATGACACATTTTAGACTCAAATATTCAGATAAAGCATTGATGTGAAATCTCGAGAGATGGTACACCTGTGATGGTCTCTACTGCTCTTCATAATCATTGCTATAATGTGTTTCACTCTACCACACATAAGCTTAGTCCATTAATATCTAGACCAAGGTAAAACCTATAGACTAGACATCATGCACTTCTCACTACATACCTCATTATATTATACATGAGCTTGAATGATTATTAGAGCGACAAAATAACCTTTATCGTTTGTACTCCCACATCAATGCATACACTAATGACACACCACCATAGAATTTCCCTAAGAAATTCATGAAATTACGCCAAACACATATACCATGATCATAAACAATAACAAACTCATCATCATCACAATAACATATATGAATACCCACCATAAACTCATAGACATGCATATAATGCATTGCAAATTATATACAAACAACTATGGAATAAGAAATTTCAAACATGTATATTGACGTTCAAAAGTGATGCCCAGCGACAGTCTTGACGCTCAACGCCAAACCTTTTGTAAAAGGTGACACTCAATGACACTTATTACAAAAAGTCACGCTTAGCAACACACTCGTGTCGTTCAACTTCTTGGAACAAAAATGCTCAAGATTTGCAATGAAACATGGGGCTCAAGATGCCTTGTTATCGCTCAGAGTCAAAGCATTCACATTTATAAGTGTTTAGCAGTACAAGATTTTCGCTTAACGGCTTAAAGCTAAAATGCTCTTAGATCTGAATAAAGAACCGGTTCTTGACGCCAATTTGCCATCGTTAAGCGTTGTATCAAATATTAGCACATTTAAAAATATGGTTTGGGGAAAAGGGAGCTTGTTCAAATGGTCAAATTGTTATTCGCTACTTTATACTTTGGTCAAAACAACTTTTAGTTCAGGGCACATACCAACTTTCTTATTTGATCAGATCCTAAGTTCCTCAATTCAACACTAATTCAATCAATGTAAACAACATACAAACATCCACTGTAAATTTCAGCACATCAAACACCATTATATCACCCAATCATGGAAAATATAATTTTCATGACATCTACAGCTTAAAAATAAAACAATTAGTTTTCCTTCCTTGAAAAAGATACAAATTTGCTAAAAAGAAACTCAAAACCCTTTCAAGCTCATTGGATGTGCTATCTACAAAAAAAAAAACACAAACACGATCAAGACATACAATTAAAACCATTAATCAACAAAGACTCATATAGATTACTAAAAAGACGCATACAGATGAAAGAAAACTCACACATAATAGATAACAGAAAAAAGAAACAAGAAAATAGTTGAAACTCAATTTACACGAACAAAGAAACTAATTTGTCCAAATTGAAGAGCTCGCCCCAATGATCAATCCACGGTCTTGGTTGTTCGATCAGATAAGTAGAGGGGGAAAACTTTTAGAGATAAGTCAAAAAACTCTAGAAAAGTGATTTCTAGTGATATAATGTATTTGAAAATAATGAAACTCATTAATAACAAAAATATTTGTACTAAAGTATTTCAATATTAAAACAGTTGAGTCTCACTATTTTTAAAACACCGTCACTTTTTTCATTTTCTAAGTCTTTACACCAATGCTACCTAATTTTCACATTTTTCGATTTGATTATTTATATAATACTTTGTAATTACTTTTTTTTTCCAGCTTATTCTCTTAGCTCGGGAAAAATAATTGTTGCTTTGGAGGTTTAGTAGTTTGTTGGTCTAATGATCTTTTATCAACAATAAACTATTATACATACCTTGTGAAATCATAGAAATACTGATAAATAAAGAGTAGAGATGTGACAAAAGAAAAGGAGTGAAGAAGGACTATTATATCTCTTTTCTTCCACACTTATGGTTTTTGGTTAGTGTGGTGAAGTTCATAATCTTATTTTGGTCGCTTATTGATATTTGTGATGTTTTTGGTTTTGGTGTCTCTTTGAGAATAAAATTTCAACAATAGCTAATTGATGTGAAGGTTAGGGATCAATAAGTTCACACTAATTCCATATCAAGTTGTCGACTAATAATAAGGTCAATTTAAAATATACAAGTAGTTACAAATATTATTTTACAAACCGATTTTATAAAATTGAGTTAAATTTAAAATTCAATTCTTAACATGATATCATAATCAGAGTCTAAATGTCGCATGTAAAGATGATATATTAAAAAATAAGACTAGTTTAAAATATATAAATAAATATAAATTTTATATCTTTTACATTCTCAATCAATTTTTTCTTTTTCAAAATATAGAAGATACCATAATACAGAAATAAAGGTTTATAACTAGGTCCAAAACTTGATGAGGAGACCTGAATAATTATCACTGCTATTTTATTAAGCCTTTCATATAGGAAAGAAAGAAATAGAAGCAGGAGCTTCACAAGGACATGTTAATTTATTGTCTTGTATTTCTGTCTTGTAATATAAATCAGAATCACTTTCTAAGTGTTAATGCGTTGATGGAAACACATGAAACAAATATCAAAGGTGATGTTTGGTCGCACGAAGCTTCCCGCGAATGAGTGTGACGACGAGGACAAGCCAGGTGTTATTATTTTTTCCTTTGTTTTCGTTTTGGTCAGCAAAGACTCTTTTTTTGGGTAGTTTTTAAGAGAATGTCAAGGTTGGGTATGACTGAGCAAAACTTTCCAACACAGAAAAGGGCCCATTTGAAGCCCAAATTCAACGAAATTTAGGCCAACTTAGCTATCCCAAAAAAATTGATAAGGACACGGAAAATAAAAAAAAGCAGGTTTGCAACGGATGTGGGAGAGACATGGCATTGGTGGCACATTTGGCAATGACTCGAAAAACAACTAAACCGACCAACACAACGACCCAAAACAAAAATTGTGGTAAGCCCCACAATATCCAGTGTCGGTTTCTTCACGGTTCTTTCTCTCATTCCTGACTCACAATATCACTTCTCAACCTTTTCCTTTTCTTTAGAGAGTGATCTAACGAACATCACCAATTAGGTTTAGCCTCTTCTCACCATCTCAAATTCCTCTACTTATTTATGCCTCACATTTCTTTTAACCTCTTTCTTCTAACTCTCATTGCTATTTATTAAAAGATTAAGAAAATTAATGCGTTATTGTTTTACCATGAAAATGACGTTTAAAACTACATTTTCCTCTTACCATTCTCTTTATTTCTAGCACATTTAGATATGTATCAAAACATTTTTTACAACAATAACTTAGCATGTACACGTAAGGACTAAAATATAAAGGTGTTTGATTTTCGCTATACACTTTGATTATATCATATTCAATAATTTAACGAGAATTGTGTGACGTTCTTCTATAATAATTTTTAAAAAAATGGAAAATATATTTCTACCTTTCTTTAAGAATAATTACGTGAAAAATATAGTTATAGTTATGTTTAAATAATACTGTTTCTAGATAATTTTATTTACTGCAAAAATAAGCCAAACACATTCAAATTAAGATCCTAAAAAGAATCCATTTTTCATCATAAGAACAAACACCGTTATTGAATTTTACAGATAATAGGCAAACACAAAAATGGGGAATATAATATATTAAATTCTTGATGTTTATTTTCCTTTGATACAGAAGAAAATAAAGAGACACCTCTTTGATTACTATACTATTTAGAATAAGTCATAATACAATTTTCTATTTAAACACCTCTGTAAAAAAACTGTATATTTTTATGTACTTTGAAAATGTGTA